ATATGGGGAAATGGGGGAAAAATATGGGGAAAAATAGTGGGGAAATGGGAAAAAATAATGGGGAAAAAATGGGGGAAAAAATGGGAAAAATGGGGGATAAAATGGGAAAGAAGCGGCTCCTTCAGGTGCCGGATGGTGGAGGAGCCGTGGAAACACGGCAGCTGGGAGCCTGGAAAATGGGGGAAAATATTGGGGAAATGGGAAAAAAATAATGGGGAAATAATGGGAAAAATATGGGGAAAAATATGGGGAAATAGTGGGGAAATGGGAAAAATAATGGGGAAAATATGGGGAAAATATGGGGAAATAATGGGGAAAATATGGGGGAAGTGGGGGGAAATGGGAAAAAAATATGGGGAAAAATATGGGGAAATAATGGGGAAAATATGGGGAAAAATATGGGGGAAATGGGGGGGAAATGGGAAAAAATATGGGGAAAAATATGGGGAAATAATGGGGAAAATATGGGGAAAAATATGGGGAAATAATGGGGAAAATATGGGGAAAAATATGGGGAAATAATGGGGAAAATATGGGGGAAGTGGGGGGAAATGGGAAAAAAATATGGGGAAAAATATGGGGAAATGGGAAAAAATAATGGGGAAAAATATGGGGAAATGGGGGAAAAATATGGGGGAAATGGGGGGGAAATGGGAAAAAAATACGGGGAAAAATATGGGGAAATGGGGGAAAAATATGGGGAAAAATATGGGGAAATGGCAAAAATAATGGGGAAAAATATGGGAAAATAATGGGAAAAAATATGGGCGAAGTGGGGGGAAAAACGGGGAAAAAATGGGAAAAATGGGGGGAAAAATGGGGAAAAATGGGGAAAAAAAAGGGAGAAAAAATGAGGGAAAGAATGGGAAAAATGGGGAAAAATAGTGGGGAAATGGGAAAAAAATATGGGGAAATTAATGAGAAAAATGGGGGATAAAATGGGAAAGAAGCGGCTCCTTCAGGTGCCGGATGGTGGAGGAGCCGTGGAAACACGGCAGCTGCGAGCCTGGAAAATGGGGGGAAATAGTGGGAAAATGGGAAAAAATATGGGGAAAAATATGGGGAAATGGGGGAAAAATATGGGGAAAAAAATGGGGAAAATATGGGGAAATAATGGGGGAAAAATGGGAAAAATATGGGGGAAATAGTGAGGAAATGGGAAAAAAATATGGGGAAAAATAGTGGGGAAATGGGGGAAAAATATGGGGGAAGTGGGGGGAAATGGGAAAAAAATATGGGGAAAAATAGTGGGGAAATGGGAAAAAATAATGGGGAAAAATATGGGAAATGGGAAAAAAAAATGGGGAAATGGGGGAAAAAATATGGGGAAATAATGGGGAAAATAGTGTGGAAATGGGAAAAAAATATGGGGAAAAATATGGGGAAATAATTGGGAAATGGGAAAAAAAATGGGAAAATAATGGGAAAAATAATGTGGGAATTCCTTGGGGAAAAGGAGGTTTGGGATGGGAGAAGCGCCAGAATTCCTGAGAATTCCCAAGAATCCTATGGAATTATTCCCAGGAATTCCCATGGAATAATTCCCACCTTGCTGCACGATCTATCAAAGGGAGCTCAGAGACCGGGAGATGGAAAACGGGGCTGGGACGAGGATTTGGAATGTGGGAATTCCTTGGGGAAAAGGAGGTTTAGGATGGGAAAAGAGCCAGAATTCCCAGGAATTCCCAGGAATTCCCAGAATTCCCAGGAATTCCCAGGAATTCCCAGGAATTCCCATGGAATTCTTCCCACCTTGCTGCACGATCTATCAAAGGGAGCTCAGAGAGCTCAGAGACAGGGAGATGGAGAACGGGGCTGGAATGAGGGGTTGGAATGGGGGAATTCCTTGGGGAAAAGGAGGTTTGGGATGGGAAGAGCCCAGAATTCCCAAGAATTCCCAGGAATTCCCGGGAATTCCCACCTTGCTGCATGATCTCCACGATCTGCACCACCCTGTCCATGTGCTTGCGGGCGGCGATCAGCCCCTGCAGCATCAGCATCTTGTAGTAGTTGAACATGTCCCCGTCCAGGCCGCCCATCACCTGCGGGGGGAAAAAAAACCGGGAATGGGCGGGGGAAAATCCGGGAAAAAATCCGGGAATTCCATCGGGAACGCCCAGGGGGAAACTCACGTCCACGAACTCGGTGGTGAGCTTGAAGGCGGAGGTCTCGAAGCCGAGGTTGCGGGGGGAGCTGGAGAGGATGAAGCCGAAGTCGATGTGGATGATGTGGCCCTCCGAGTCCAGCAGGATGTTCCCGTTGTGCCTGCGGGGAATTCCGGGGAATTCCTGGGAATTCCTGGGAATTCTGGGGAATTCTGAGCCGGGGGTGGGGGGATCTTGAGGTGGGGGAGGGGGTGGTGTGGAAGTGGGGTGGGGTTGAGTGGAGTCAGGTCGGAATCAAAGGGGATTCCATTGAAATTACAGGGAATTCCATGGAGATCCCATCAAAATCTCATGGAATTCCATCAAAATCCCATGGAATTCCATCGAAATCCCATCAAAATCCCACGGAATTCCATGGAAATCACATCAAAATTACATGGAATTCCATCAAAATCCCATCAAAATATCACGGAATTCCATCAAAATCCCATGGAATTCCATGGAAATCCCATCAAAATCCCATGGAATTCCATCAAAATCCCATCAAAATCCCATGGAATTCCAAGGAAATCCCATCAAAATCTCATGGAATTCCATCAAAATCCCATCAAAATCCCATGGAATCCCATCAAAATCCCATGGAATTCCATCAAAATCCCATGGAATTCCATGGAAATCCCATCAAAATCCCATGGAATCCAAAAAAATTCAAAAAAAAAATCCAAAAAAATTCCAAAAAAAATCCAAAAAAATTCCAAAAAAAATTTTAAAAAATTCCAAAAAATTAAAAAAAAATCAAGAAAAATAAAAAAAAAATCCAAAAAATATCCAAAAAAAATCCAAAAAAAAATCCAAAAAAATTCCAAAAAAATTCCCAAAAAAATCCAAAAAAAATCCCAAAAATCCAAAAAATTTAAAAAAAATCCAAAAAAATTCCAAAAAAAATCCAAAAAAATTCCAAAAAAAAATCCAAAAAAATTAAAAAAAAATTCAAAGAAAATCCCAAAAATTCCCAAAAAATTCCCCAAAAAATTCCCCAAAATCCCCCAAGCCCTCCCGCTGCCCCCCGTACCTGTCCTTGACCTGCAGCAGGTAGCACACCAGGCAGTATCCGGCGCAGCTGCGCACGAAGTTGCGCTGGGCCGTGAGGAAGGACTCGGAGTTGGCGCTGCCGTGCTCCTGCAGGAAATAATCCAGCAGCGACAGCGCCGACTGCTTCTTGATCTGGTGCAGGGACACGGCGCTGAGCACCGGCTCGATCATCCCGCTGTCCGCCGAGATCACCAGGATCTGGTAGGGCTTGATCCACAGGGGAACCCGCTCCTGCTCCCAGATGGACTGCGGGAATTAATTAATAACGGGAATTAATAATTAATAACGGGAATTAATAACGGGGATAATCCACAGGGACACGGCGCTGAGCACCGGCTCGATCATCCCGCTGTCAGCCGAGATCACCAGGATCTGGTAGGGCTTGATCCAGAGCGGAACCCGCTCCTGCTCCCAGATGGACTGCGGGGATTAATAATTAATAACGGGAATTAATAACGGGGATTAATAAATAACGAGAAGAAATAACGGGAATGGTGATGGGAATAATCCACAGGGGAACGCGTTCCTGCTCCCAGATGGACCGCGGGAATAAATAAATAATAGGAATTAATAATGGGAATAAATAATGGGAATTAATAACAGGAATAAATAATGGGAATAAATAACGGGAATAAATAATAGGAATAAATAATAGAATACATAAATAATGGGAATAAATAATGGGAATAATCCACAGGGGGATGTCCTCCTGCTCCCAGATGGACTGCGGGAATAAATAAATAATGGGAATTAATAATGGGAATTAATAACGGGAATTAATAACGGGAATTAATAATGAGAATTAATAGCGGGAATAAATAACAGGAATAAATAATGGGAATAAATAATGGGAATAAATAACAGGAATAAATAATAGGAATAAATAATAGGAATACATAAATAATGGGAATAAATAATGGGAATTAATAATGGGAATTAATAATGAGAATTAATAACGGGAATAAATAACAGGAATAAATAATGGGAATAAATAATGGGAATAATCCACAGGGGGACGCGCTCCTGCTCCCAGATGGACTGTGGGGAATGGAGAAATAATGGGAATAAACAATGGGAATAAATAAATAATGGGAATAAACAATGGGAATAAAGAATGGGAATAAAAAATGGAAATAAATAAATAAATAATGGGAATAATCCACAGCAGGATTCATTCCATCAAATCCAATCAAAATCCCATCAAACCCAATCAAAATCCCATCAAATCCAATCAAAATCCCATCAAATAACAAAACAATCCCAGCAAATAAAAAACAATCCCTTTAAAATGATTTTTTTTCAGGAATTCCACAAGGATTAGAGTTTTTCTGGGAATGTTCCAGGAACTTCCCAGGAATTTTCCTTGGGAATCTCCTCACCTGGAGCTGTTTGAGCACCAGGAACGCCCTAAAAAAATCCCTAAAAATCCATAAAAATCCGGGAATTTTTTCGGGAATGACGGGAATCTCTCAGGGATGGGGAATTCCGTTGGGAATTCCTTGGGCATCTCCTCACCTGGAGCTGTTTGAGCACCTGGAACGCCAGCAGCTCCTGCCGGAGGTCGTCGCCGCATTTGACGATGACGGAGAGGAGGCGCCAGGAGGGGAGGTGGCCGTAGGGAGAGGCTTCCCGGATTCTCCTGAGGGGGAAAAATCGGGAAAAACGGGATCAGCCCGGGATCTGCAGGTTGGGGAATGCTCTGGGAATTCCCTGGAATTGTCTTTGTGCCACCCAGTCCCGTTAAAATCCCATCCAAGTCCATGAAATCCCATTAAAATCCCATTAAATCC